ATTTTGATGCAGATCTTCCTTTGCCCAATCTCTCCCTAGGTTCATGTTTGCGAATCCGAGTCGAGCTTCTTTGTGACGATCGGTGATTCGTGGCACCTTCTCCATTGCTTGCCTGGTGATGTTCTCGCATCTTCTCACTGCTCTCCAGACTGTAGTTTTCGATACAGAGAGGTTTAATTCCGATCGGATCTGGTTCAAGGAGGACGTACTGTTGGAAACAGTCCTCAGAATTTTCCGCTTGTCACGGGTAGTAATCTTTCATGGGTGTCTACAGTCGGTGTTATATCTAATGACTTGAAGACTCTCTAGAAATCTCCGAATGGACCAAGGGGATCTCTCTATTTGCCTGGAAATGACTCGAGTACGGAGCCCCCCTTCATGATAAGCCTTCTCATCAGTGGAAAGCAGATGACCACGAGCCATGTTGACAGTCAGGTTTAGAAATGCCTTTGCTACATATGCTTACCTTTACAAGTATCTTCAAGCACGAAATTTCCTCTCTTTCGTTAATAATTGTTCACATTCTCGGGGTGACCTTATAATTATGAAACGGTGCAAAAACCGATAAACTGTTCTAAAAAAGTTCAGAAAAATGCAGCTGCGGCTGAAAAATGGGTACCTAGGTTATTCGTGCTGGGGAATCTGTTCATGATGCTAGAAAAAATCCTTAATGATTGCTTTTCTTGAAAGCGCAAAATTTGAGGGTGACCTTATAATTATGAAACGCACTGTATAGCATCTGTTTCATTTAGTTACGATCAACAACATATGCGGATACATGTATAATAAGCTCGAATCCCCGTTTTTTTCTCATGGTGATGGGTGGCAATGTTTTTAATGTGATAGGTTGGCAAGAAAGTTCTGTGACAAAGAGAAAGCCTAGAAGAGATCAACATCCTCACCTAATCCTTCAAGCGCATCACTGATGTCTTATGTCCAAAAGACAAGGAGCTGTGACTTAAGAAACTGATTGACTGCCGTTTTCAGACCATAATAAGGTTATGGGCTCTAAACAAGTGATGTTTAAAAATGCAGAGCCCACTGCAATCAAGAGGGGCACGTTCTGAGCACGAATAATGAACAAGGTGGATCCAAGCGAGGTAGGTGAGTTATTGGCGAGTATCTAAAGCGAAATTGCAACATGCGTTCAGCTCTGTAGGCAACTAATTTATAGTTTTGACCCCTCTCCCTGACCGCGCATTCCAAGTGCGGGGTTCAAAGGGGTAAGCGACAGCTGTGACTATCTTGTCTGTTTAGGAACTCGTGCCCCACAAAACGAAGAGACAATTATTGCGTTACTTCGAATGCTATATCTATACGTACTGCAGTAAAACGATTCCCTATTGTTGACTACCTTTAGCGGGTAGGTCGCTGATTTTTCAGCCGCTACACTTGCGTTTATCACTTGACGTGCTTAGTAGAATATGATGGTAACAAATCTGGTGTTGAAAAAACCATTGGCCCAGGAAATGTTCAAGATGTTTATCACCCTTCCTATCGTGCTCAAAGTGTGTATATAGAATTTTTTGCGCTCCAAAGTTGATGTCGCAAAAC